TTAGGACAAACTGCTGTATACAAAACTAACTAGACACTTTACTCTTGGACTACTGAATGTGATTGTTATCTTTTGTAAAAAGGAATTAATGTGTATTTCATAAACAAAATTCAATTTATTTTGCTATTTCCAGTTTTGTGTGTGTGATTCTTGTATATCTAATAAAGAGAACTCTCACATTCCCACATAAATCTGAAGATTTACAGACATCTCTTTTAAAGGCTTAGTTAATAACATACTGCTAATATTCAGACTAGAAGATGTCATGTGCAGCGATCAAAATGTTTTAAAATAATTTTAGTTAATCAACTCTAACAAAATTACTTCAGAATTACCCAGTTACTGTTCTGTAGGAGAAATTTTCTAGAAGAGCAAGTAAAATACAAATAGCAAGCGATATGAATTGTTGAATATATATTAGGACTAAATTCTGCCACAAAATAACTTGCATGGGAAATTTGCACATACATCAGAAAGTAGAATTTGGACTTTAGAAATTGCCTTAAGAATTTTAGCTTTTGTTGGTACACAAGAATAATTAAGCAAAGAAATACGACAACTAGTGCATATCTGCTAGTTTTAGCATGAATCCAAAGGCTGAGTGAATTTAGACACTTAAGTGTAATAGTAACCTAGAAATATACTGTTTATGGGGGTAAAAAACGGAAAATAAGCTTACCACTTGTTTAGATGAGTATTATTTACATAGGTATATCATCACTCAGATCAAATTATATACAGAGAGCCTGATTTTCAAAGGTCTTAAAGCATCTGCAGCTCCCATTGACTTCATTAGAATTTGTGGATACTTGACATAAAATCTCTATTTTCAATTATTCAGTAAATCACTTGCACTTCATGTACTGCACTGTCTACCAATTGATTTCCAAGTGAATTTTTTTAGCAAGGTGATAATGAATGTTGAACACAGAAATAAGGGGCTAAATTCTGACCAGAAATGTGTGTTTTCCCTGTGGGATTTGCCTAGAAGCATCCAAGCATAAAATTTAGCCTATTGTGTTTATTTCATTACATATGTGTCACCACTGGGGTGGGAGGAAAAGAGGACACAGCTTTTTACTATTCTGTTGATATCTCCCACTCAAGGTGGTTTTGGGTCTTGTGCAGTTTTATTCCTGATGTGCCTGTTTCATCATCTTTAATATGCATTTTCAACATATCCAAGTTATCATCCTCTCCCAGGATGAGCTTTCCATAGTTGCCATTTTCCCTCAAACATTATTCTGCTTAATGTACTGGACATTTATTTCTATATAAATTGTCAAACTGGGAGTAAAGAAAATACTCAATGGATTTATTTGAAACTCTTTTTTGTTAACGAGGGGTGATATTGTTGTATTCCTCTTTTCCTTTACTTTATACCTTATAGTTACATTTAGGCTTGGCAGAATTCAATTTTGTATGTAATTTCAACAAATAATATCAATATTCCTTTTTAAGCATTTTAAATTTTATATATTTTTACATTTTCACAGTTGCACAAAATTATGGGATTTAAGCATTGACATTGAGATATAAAATGCTTTATGACTGTTAAAACACAAATGTCAACATCACATGTCAAAATGTACAAAGTAAATATCCTTAAATTAATCCCTTATAAGTTCTGAAAAGCAGCATTTTTCTCACTTTGCCTATCTGTACATTTTGATTTTCAATGGCAAATTTTCATTGGTTTGTGTGTGTTTGGTAAAAATCAACATTTACTGACAAAATCTAATCCTTCCAGACCTAACACCACCACATTTTGCTGTCCAAAATAGTGAGAAAATTCTCAAAGATATAGAACATTGGTAGCTTCAGACTGGATAATATTTCAGCAGTAACATCTCTGATAAATAATCACCTCTCTACTACTTATGCTAAAGAGAATCAATACTTAAATAATAGTGCTTGTATTCTTTTGGTAGGCCTTCCTGCACAAAAATTGTGGTCTAGTGAAATCCGGGAGCAAAATTATTCTGATTTGATACTAATATATCATAATTCTGTGCAGCACACTGACAAAACAGTCTGTGAAGTTTCTTGTTATCATTACTTTGAATTAATGAAGTTCCAGCAATCTCAATCACAACGTTGGCTGTTTATGCAGAATTTTACCAGCCTATCATACTACATATATTCACTGTGATCACACTGAAGTTCAAAGACTGTCTTTAAAGCCAGAGGCAGATTACAGTTGCATGGGGCTCTGGGCCAAGACAAGTGGGGGCCCCTCCCCACCCCTTCCGCCTGCAGTCCCACCGGGGAGTGGGCTCAGGGCACGGGGGCTTACCCCAATCTGCCAGCCTGCTCGGTGCTCCTGCCGGGGACCGGTGGGCTTGCCCCACTCCCCATGCCCAGCACTCCCACTGAGGACCAGCGGTGGGGGGCTTGCCCCACTCCCTCTGCCCGGTACTCCTGCCAGGGACTGGGGGTGGGTGTGGGGGCACTCATTTTTCCAGGGCCCTCCAATTGGCTGGGGTCTCTGGGCACAGGGTGGCCGCATTGAGCCTGTGGCTAATCCACTACTGTCTGAAGAACTTACACAACTCAGTGAGCCCTTATGGCTTTATGATAGATCACTTTCAGTTAGTAGGCTCTTTATGGCAGAGACCTAATATCACTGGGATCTCAATAAGGAACGGAGGATCTCCTAACAGGCTACATTTTCTTTTTTTAATACTTTCCCTTTATTTATTTGTGTTTCACTGTTGGCTTTATTTGGTGATTTGCTTTTGGAGGTAATATGGAAAGTCTCTGAGGAATTATTTTTTTGTTGAAGTCAGCTTGCATTTTAATGAATAGGTGGAGTGCACCACTTATATGATTAGCTTGCATTTTTAAAGTGTTTCACAAACACTAACTAATTATCCTCATAACACCCCTCTGAGGTAGGTAAATATTATCCTAACCTTTAAAAAGATAAGTTGAGTCAATGAGAGGTTAAGTGAGTTGCCAAAGCTCACACAATGAGTCAGAGTTAAAGCCAGAGCTGTGAGCAGTAAACAAGGACTTTCATTGTGCCTAGTCCCATATTTAAACCATTTAAACATGTTGCCTCGCATAAACTTCAATACCTACTGTAAAAGTCTAGTCATATTTTACATGGGTGCTGTCATTGCCATTCTCAACACAGCAAGTTATTCATCATTATGAAGAGAAGAAAGCTTAAGAAAAGTGACACTATACACATGAAATTCCATTGAATAACTGCAGAATTCATTTCATATACAGATATTAGTGGATGGATTCTTGCATACAATAAGCAGCATTTTTAAATCCAACTTATTTAAAAATATTTAACTATCTTAAAATTATGTTATAGTGATTGATGGGTTTAAAAAGACTAAAGAAGTCAGTAAAAATTTTGTATGGACTAGTTTAAATAATTATACCTTATTTCCTTGTTTAACTACTTCTCCATATTTTGTCACAGAAAAATATCACTTTTATTGTTTTGTTAATACAGTTTTAAAAGTATATACAATCCTGCAATAACGTGCACGGTAGATTACACAAATAGCACAATGTAAACAGAGTATGTATATATAGATAAGATGTATATCCTTACAATCCATTTCCTTATTAAAGGAACACATTCATTAGAAAAAGAGGCCAGTTTACAAGATACATTGTATCTTGCACCAGCTTATTGTCAATTTTTAATTATATTTGATTGATCACCATCATTAAGTTTAATATTAAACATAATAAGTTTAACAGAGTAATCAGCTGGAACAAGACTTACTGTGTAAACGAACTTTACTATTTCTTTCATTATTTCTGTCAATTGCATATTTATCCCCAGTGCTATTCTTTCCTTATAATTTTAATCAAAAAGATAAGTGTATACTTTGAGAAACTTAGTGCAGCGAAGAAAGGACTTTTTGGAACAAAAGTTTGTGCATCATCACTTATTTGTTAGACAAAGACTTTTCTTTATCTTGCCCAATATTTATAAAATAAAGCATATTTTAATCATATATGCATCTTTCCATTATCCTATGGATATGACCCATCTGTAATCAAGATGCAGTAGCACAAAATTTCAAAGTAAGTATTTTTGTGGAAATGCCTATTTACCGCTATAAATTCTGTAACAGCACGTCATGTGAACAACTTCTTTGGTATCAATGGTTATTTTCATGAGAAAATTTCCCCAATATTAATATAAAATCAAAAGGCCAGAAAGAAGTGAGCATAGAAGTAGAGCTAGAAGGGAGAACCCATGGTAAAGATCTGATGACAAATACTGACAACCATAAGGAAATGTTTTGTATATTGTACAAGTTGAACTTTGAGATGAAATGACTATGTTGCATGGTGTCTGTTTTGATTAGGTACCTGAAACAGTGACAACTTTCTCCTCCCCAGCCCTTTATTATTGAGGTCTTGAAGTAATCATTGTACCGTACATGAGATTAAATTGTTCAGAACCATTAAGAAAAAAGATCTTTTATAAACTGATTCTTTCACCCTCTCAATTAACAAAATGCAATTTCTGAGTAAAAATTCCTCTGATATTTGAAGTGTTTGAAGAAAGGCCACGCACAAGTAGTATAAGAAGAAATTCTGCAATCTCTTCCTAAGTGTATATATTATACACTATGAATAAATAAAAATCTGAATTAAAGTTTGCATGGGATGGTAGTTTGAAAGTAATGCATTTTGTTTCTGAATTACATGTTTACTGAATAAAATAAATGCATGGTAATCTGACAGGTTTAAACTGGTAATGTTATGGAAAAAGAATGAAGCAACAAAAATCAACATGTTTTTCATTGCTAAGTTTTCTGTCTTTGGTCAATTTTAATTTAAGGGTATTTTTAGAACAAAAGGAAACACAAGCTCTTTCATATAGGAATATACAGTTTCTCCCACTTGCTGACAGTTTTTTTTATTAGAAGAGTTGACATTGCACCTAGAACTCCCATTGTTAGTAGGATTCTGTTAGCAGTAGTAGTTGCAAACATATAGGTTTGCCAGTAACAACTCACAATTTGTGCATAGTTGAGTCTTCGAAACTGAGCAAATTTGCTCTCAATATCTCGCCAGCGCTTGCTGAGCTGTATCAGGGTTGGCTCCACTGCTTTTGCAGCCCCATTCTTAGACAAGCGATCAGCTTGCCTGTGCACCGCATTCAGATCTTCTTTCTTCTTCTCCAATTCTCCATCAATTTCCTAGTGAGCAAAACCAATACATGGCCCAGAGCAATTAGCTAACTAGGTTAATCAATTAAGAATTAGCAAAATACTTCTGTCAGAACTTTCATTTCAAAGATTTTCCACTTTATTGTTGCAATCAAAAAGGTACAGTCAAGTCTTATTTTACATTTAGACAAAACAAACAAAACTAAGACTCAAGAATCTTCCTGCCGACTGGCTTTTGAGATACTACTAATTAGCGTATGCTGAAAGCTATTAACATAGGCCAACAATCTATTTTTTCTACTTCTCCCTAGCACTGTGATGGGCAATTGGAGAGATCACTCTTATCTATTAGGATTAACATATTAAGTACACACAGCTATTTAGAGGGTGTGCAAATTTAGTAGTTTACTTCTTTTTTAACTTTGTGGGAAACTCAGAGAATGAAGCAAAGAAAGACGATGCAAAATAAACCAGAAAAATCTTTTGACGATATGTGAATAGATCTATGGAATTTTGACAGTGACATATGAATGTTTTGATGAAAATGAATGTGCTAATATGAGAAAGAGGTCATCCATATACCGATAAGTCATTTGTTCATCTGGAACAAAGATACATAAAGTCAATTACAATTTTTACTAGAAAACACTTGATATTTCTTAATACAGTGCACACTGTCCATTATTAATACAAGATTTTATTTAGTGTGTTTTATACCACTTGCGTGACATTCAGTATAACATTTACAAGAATACAAGAAATAATATCTACAACAAAAGAAATGTGTCAGTTTGATCAGACTGTCAATATGTATGTTATAAAACAAGAAAATAAAGTACTGTTGAATTTGTGTATGTGTGTATATATATGTATTATAAAGATTTGTTGTATTTGCTGTCTTTTAAATGAATAAAACAATGTGCCAAAAAATCTACCATTGTCATCCCAAAACAACATTACCTTTAGCTTCTGTTCATCTTTGGGGTCTGGTAGACTGGCTAACTTTTTCTCAATGTCATCCAACCATTTCAATAGGTCATCAGCCTGCCTCTTGTACTGATACCACTGATGAGAAATCTCTAAAGCCTTTTTTCTTCTTTGAGACCTCAAATCCTGTTCACAGTGCAGACATTATTAGAATATCAATAAAAGATTTACAATATACATGTTGGCATGTGTGTATACTGTAGGAAATAAATGAAAAGTACCTAAGGACATTAGCTCAGTTTTTAAATTAAATTCTGATAAGATTAACTGAACAGAGCCGGTATATTTTCCTGAATCTATCATAGGCAACATTTACTATTGAGGGATGCTTTATAACTCAGACATGTTTACATGCTCAATGATTTGTTGAGGAAATTCACCAATATTCAGAAGTTACAACTGAAATACTCACTAGACAGCTGGAGATTTAACCCAATTTAAATCTAGTCATAGGTGAGCTTCCCACTTCGTGACATCTTACTAAACTCAAGTCTGTGAAATATGAAAGGCTACTCAAAAGAAAACGATTTCAGTGCAGAGATTTATTTTATACAAATAGGGTTTCTTTTTTATAAGAAAAGAACAATTTACACATGAAAATTCTGCCTCATGTTTATGACTTTGATGGATCTAACAGTCTATGCTCACACATGAATACACTAAGTTTAAGGTATTTCCTAACTCTAACTTGAGCATACAATATTGCAAAGGGTATTTAATGATGCAATAAAGATTCAGATTTTTGTTTTACTTTAATGTTACAAAAGGACAGAATGTGGAGTTCAGTGAACACTAACTGTATTATTATTGTTAATTTGTAAATGGTTTACTGACATTAAAAAAACAAAAATGTTACTTTATTGCCTATATGTTTTATATGAAATAATACTCTACTTGAATTTGCTTAAACTGTTCGATATTCCATTGAGTTTTATCTGTCAAGGCTGAATGCCTTTATTGAGTCACCAAAAAGAAAATCAATTACGCCAGTCCTTGTAAACACAGCCTGTAATAATCTGGTCAATAGCATGGATCTGAATGCCGCTTTATCATAATTAAGGGCAATATATTACAGCTCTGCAAATGGTTCTCTTATTTCACCTCAGTACAAATTATGAATTACATGCACGTGGTTTGGTTTTCTCAAAGGAAAATCTAATGAACTTCAAGTTTTCACTAAAATATATAGAACACCATAAGGTCTTCAGGCATCCTTTTAGTGACCTCATATAAAGCTGTGAAAAATTGAGAAAATCCACCTGGAAAGCAAGGATGCTATTTTGTTAATAAATAATAATAAAGTGTAAGCATGTCAAACCCCCAAACCCAAAGAGAGTTTAGTGAAGACTATTGAGGGGGGGAGGGAGGGGAGGAAATAACTATCATGATTTTGATCATTTGGATTAAAACACTCTCTCAGTGATAAGAACTTAGGAAATGCCATACTGGATCCATCCAGTGGTGCATTGTGTCCAGTAACCTGTCTCCTATATTGACTAGGAGATGCTTCAGAGGAAGGCTCAAGAACCACAGAGTAGGCAGTTACTGGATGATCTGCACCTGGGGAAAGTTTCTAACTTCTAACCCCCATTTAGGTAATGGTTGTCTTGCATCCTGAAACATGAGGGCTTACATGATCATATATCATTTAAGAATTAATATTCAACAAAAGATTGTTTTCTTCAATCCCTGCTGACCCCTGATAAAACCTTAAATAAATAAATAGTTCTTGGGAAGAATCTACACGTGTTGTTTGTGGGACCTGGTCCTTTCTTCTACGGGCCATCATGATTCAGTAACTTAGCTCCCAAAGTTACCTTGTCCTTCCATGGCATCTCACTGGAACAGTGGAAAAGCTGTTACAGCTTTGATTTTAAATTACTATAGGTAACAAAAAAATCTTGATACACAATATGGCATTGTGATTTGCCAACTCAAGCAATAGCAATGAAGAAAAGGAACCTGTTTCTAAGTTAGGCACTAGAAGGTGGTGTGGTTAATCATGAATGCCTTTCTGATACGAAACAACTCTCCCTACAGCCAAAAGTGGGTGCCCTTCATGCTGTATGGTTCCTTGAATGCATTGCCAGTCTTTTTAAATTCTTCTCCAGGGACCCAGGTGCTTACTGCCTATTAAGCTTGCCATCTTGAGCAATTAGGCTTTGCTACTAGATTGTTTACGGGCACAGTTACCAGGTGGCTGCATCCCCAGTGCTGATCAAAAGAGCATTTCGCTGAGCTGTGGTGCTCTGAAATTCAGCCCCTTCGTTGTCAAATTCAGTAAGGCCTGTGACCCTATTAGCACCAAATAGCAAGGCGCTCCCTGGTGTGTAACAGTAAATCTCAGCTGGCCTAACCAGCTAAATAAAATTCACACACTGTTGTCACAATATTCATTTAAAATGTGTCTTGTAAAATATCAGGCAAAAACTACCATCACGCTGGTCATTAATATCATTGTAAAATTTATGTAACAACACTATGTGAAATTATGGATACTTTCTGATATTACGTTTCCAAGTCTGTAGTCAGGCCAAGAAGGCAAAACTGTTCCTCCCTCCCCCTCCTCGGCAAAAAAGGATAAAGGCAAACACCACTTTT